CTTAGAAGGTTTCAATAATGTGTTTGGGTGGCATGCATATTTGTGGTATGACAAGGTTAAAGCTCACAAAATTTTTAAAAACCATATTGTCAGGAAAGCATTGTTCAATGTCTGGATAAGATATAAAGACTTATTGGAAAACAAAACCCCAAGGTGGTTATCACCAATGGAGGCAAAGGCCCTAAAAAAGTCCAATATGGAGGCCAAGTGGCCAAAATATTGGGAGATCTTGGAACAAGAAGGAGATAAATTCAAATTGCAGAGTTTTGAAAAATTAAAAGATAGAGTGCGAGACTGGTTGCATTATTATCAAATAAGAGAGGTCTATAATTTGGATAGAAAAATTGGCTTCCAGGTGGAAAAATCAAAGTTGGAAACAGAACTGCTAGATCCCAAAACTAAAACACTTTCAAGAATGTATAACTTGCTGCTAAAATGGAATACTCAGGATGAAACGGTAAAATCTGCTATGATTAAATGGGCACAGGATGTTGGACATAATATTATGTTTGCTGACTGGGAACGGTTATGGACCACAGGTACGAAGTTTACAGCATGTAATGCTTTAAAAGAGAATATAATGAAAATGGTGTACAGGTGGTACATGACCCCAGTCAAGCTTGCAAAAATCTATCACTTGCCCGATAATAAATGTTGGAAATGTAAAGAAACTGAAGGTACATTCTTTCACCTTTGGTGGACGTGCCCAAAGATTAAGGCTTTCTGGGAAATGATATATAATGAATTAAAAAGGTATTCAAATATACCTCCCTAAGAAACCAGAGGCCTTTCTCCTGGGCATAGTCGGCCAATTGGTGTTAAAAAAGGACAGAACTTTCTTTATGTACGCAACAACAGCAGCAAGAATACTCATCGCAAAGTATTGGAAGACACAAGATCTACCCACTCTGGAAGAATGGCAGACGAAGGTAATTGAATATATGGAACTGGCTGAGATGACTGGCAGAATCCGTGACCAGGGAGAAGAGTCGGTGGAAGAAGACTGGAAGAAATTCAAAGACTATCTACAGAAATACTATAAAATTAATGAATGTTAAATTGAGGTCTGATTGAAAATAACTGGTATTGGCAAAAGTCTTGTGATTAAGAGCATGGAATATTTGATGGATAAAGCTGTAATATTTATATATAAATAGATTAACTTTGAGTTAAGATAAAGAAAGGAGGGTAAGGATTTGCTGAAAGGAGTTTTTAAATGGAAATACAAGCGGGAGATGTGCGGAAGTCAAAGAATTAGGTAATGATAAGAAGGTTAAATGAAGGTATATTACTTTTTAAATTTTTCTGTCTTTTTTTCTTTTTTTCCTTTTTCCCTTTTTTTCCTTTTTCTTTTTGTGTTAGGGATATTGTTATCTATGTTTGCTTTTTGTTATGGTTATTGTTGTTTTCTGTTTGTCGAATTTTTGTATTTTTCCACATCTTTTGGAATTTGTTTTTGTAAAACCAATAAATATTATATAAAAAAAAAAGAAACTCTACCACTGCTGCTTATGATAGAAGTAAACTAGTATTTTTAAACAAAATTAAAAAGTGGGGCAACATTGCCACCAAGTCCCCCACCCCACAAAATAACATAGACTCTTCTTGCCCCTGAAAGTTGTGAGGGATTTTTTTTTGGGGGGGAAGTGGTCATCATTTCATTAATCCCCCTGAAACCCCAATATTTGCACCAAAGAAACACCAGGAGAATGTTAATTTCAGCTCCATTATACATCATTCAAGTTATCTAGACACATCCTGCCCCCATGTGCAGCACTGGTGCATGCAAATGTTTAATGTGCAGTTAGCCCCCCTGACTGAGGTGTTTGGGAAAAATTCCTTCTGTTCATGTTGCTAGTCCCTGTCATTTCACCTACCTTCCAAGTTCCATCAAACAAATGGAACTGGAAATGGAGTGTTCTAGAGATCTGACTGTCATATTTCAACGTGCTTAGTGAAAACTACAAATGGATGGATACATTTTCCATCTTCCTGGGCTGCGCCTCCGAAGAGTTTTTCCACTATAATTGCAATTGATGTTTTCCTTCAGCCTTGTAAAATGGCTTAGTGGTTTGGAAATGATTTAAAGGAGGAATAAATATGCAAAACCAGAACGGGTTTCTGTCAAACTCAAAATTTCCTCTCCCCTTGCTGATGAATCCAGAGCACCTTCTTCGCACAGAGCGATAGCTGCAGGGGACAAATAATTTCATCTGGCTCATATGACATCTTCTAAATATACTGTCTAATATTGACCTAGCTAAAATATGCTAAGTGTCTTGGGTGTTTTGCTAGATAAATTGCAAACTATTGTTCTTTCAGAAACAGGAATCAGGGGCCTGTTGAGCTGCTTGGGCTGCAGTGGCAAACTGTTTCCTTGGAAGTGGCATTTTGCTCTTCTGTTCCTCCTTTTTTTTTAAAAAAAAAATTGCTTAATCTAATGCAAACCTCATCAGCACCTGCTATGATGGAACAGCTGTATAAAGGGTGCTTGTAAGTGCATCTGGCTGAATGCACCTGCAAGCCTTCACAGGATCCGGTACACACAAAGTGCAGGGTTGCTGATCATGGGACGGACCATAAATGCATTCTGCCAAACTTGCTTACAAGCCCGCTTCAGACTTTTAAAGTTTAGGAAGGTTGGGGGTAAGTGGGCATCCTTAAAAGGCTGGGGTGACTATTCAGTTTAAGTCCCTGCATGTTCTTCTGAATGCATGCACAGGGAGGGATAGGATAGGCCATGGGTAGGCAAACTAAGGCCCAGGGGCCGGATCTGGCCCTATCGCCTTCTAAATCCAGCCAATGGACGTTCCAGGAATCAGCGTGTTTTTACATGAGTAGAACGTGTCCTTTTATTTAAAATGCATCTCTGGGTTATTTGTGGGGCCTGCCTAGTGGTTTTACATGAGTAGAATGAAACTTTTATTTAAAATGCATCTCTGGGCTATGTGTGGGGCATAGGAATTCATTCATCCCCCCCAAAAAAATATAGTCCGGCCCCCCACAAGGTCTGAGGGACAGTGGACCAGCCCCCTGCTGAAAAGGTTTGCTGACCCCTGGGATAGGCACTTGAAAAGCGATGCAGTGTATGGGGGAAGAGGAAGATGAAGGAAACCAACAAGAAGTGTGTGTGTGTGTGTGTGTGTGTGTGTGTAAAGACTGGACACTGTGCAACAGCCTGCGGAAAACTGGAAGCCAGGAGGCATGGAATGAAACCATTGGTAAGGGTGAAAGAAACAACTGAGAGGCAGGATGGCGAAACAAGCCAGAAGTCAGGATCAAAGGACAGGCCAAAGAAAGACAAAGACACCCACACACCAGTCAGGCCCCACTACTCCAGTTGGCTAAATTGGCATGCACTGGGGGTAATTCCCAGAGCAGTCTGAGCCCATTGTCTCATGGCACTATGAAGAATATAAGAACCTAAGAGGCTGCCTCATCAGACCACGTAGCCCATCATTCTGTTCTCACAGTGAACAACCAGATTCTGATGGGAAGCCTGGAGACTGGACCTAAGTGACACAACATCCTCCCTAATTCTGGTTCCCAGCAATTGGCATTCATAAGCACGCTGCCTCCGACAGGAGAAGTTGTGGCTGGTACCCATTGGTAGGCCATGAATTGGCCTAATCGTCATTTGAAGCCATTGAAGTTGATGACCTTCATGATAACAGTACAAAAGTTCTGTATCCTGTTTACAGCAGTGACCCACCAGAATTATTTCAGAGCTGAAAGAAAGGCTCTATTTTCCCCTGAGAAAATTTATGGAGAATTTTATTCTTCTCTATTCACCGCCAACACTTTGTAGAATTTTCTCAGAATTTGGCCACCAGAAGTGGCAAACCTCCCCCCACCACCTCCGACACAAAATGCAGTTGCTACATCTGAGAAATGGTTGCAGAATCTCTCCCTACCACACCCAGCACATACACACTGGTGGGAAATTGGGTAATTGTCTATTTATTTTTTCTGCCCAGAAATAGCGTGGAGAATTTTGAAAGGTCATTTACGCACACCTCTAATGAACTATCAGAGAAAGAGAGGAAAGAATTAGTGTACACAGGTCGTTTTTCCAATGTATACGGTAAAAAATGTATCCAGTGTAATTAAATGGAGTCTTGAAAAGCACATAGAGCTGAAAGAGGAAGTGGGAGAGAGTGTCACTTTCCCAACTTCCTCCTTTAGCCTTTTAGTGCTTTTCAAGATAGAAAAACAGGACCACTTTCACCAGATCATGGCTGAGAAGGCAGGGAGTGGGAGAGCTGAGAGGCTTCCTGGGTGCCGGGGAAAGATAGGCATCATATTGGGCTTAAGGCCTTTGCTCCCTGTGTTACAAGGCTAGCTGTGTAAATGTTTCTTAGAGAGCGCCAGCAGCCCTGTGTCACAGTATTAGTATTATTATAATTTTTAAAAAGTTTCTCCTGTAGACTGCTGTGCTGGTGACATTTCCCTCAAACTGCAATAACTAACCTGTCACAGCCTACAAACGCCAACAATGCAGCGCCGTGTGGGGTTGACTTAATAAACCTCATTTACATTCATTTTGATTCACTCAGGCATTGAAAAACATTTCACGGGGGAAGAGAAAGGGGGGAAATAACTAGGAACCTCTCCAAGCTGACATGATGTTTGCTGATACGATATGAACGGACTTAATAGCAGCGTGGATGCAAACATGTATTCTGTACAATATTTGCAAATCCTTTTTATTTATTTGCAAATTGTTTCTCACACTGGCTGCGTCGCTGGAGTCCTGCTAGTAGGAGATCTCCTACAGCACCACCAACTGGTTTATAGTCTGAGCAAAGGGTGTGCGGGTGGTTGGATGCATGGCCCACAAGGACATACTGCATCTTTATATGAGTACATTGACTGTAGCTACTTTCACCTCCAGCTGACCCCAAAACAGAAGCAAGGAACCTCAGGCTGGGATGCTGGATGCAGCCCTCCAGGACTTTGTATCTGGCCTCTCCCAGGCCACACCCTACTCAAGCACATGCCCTTCACTGGAACATGCCCTTAAACTCTTGCCAAAATGAATGAGAGAGGTGGTGTTTGTAGAAATGTCTGGTTTATGCATGGCTGCAATTAAAGCATGGCTGTGCAAGCATAAGATCACATCTTTTGCTCTATCCACTTTGGGTCTCTTTTCTTGTCCATCATCGGTATGCATCTCTCCTCAAGGCTGGCCATGAGGAAATAGGGTCTTCTGGATGAAAAGGGTTCTCCACTCTTGGCCTAAAGTCAGACAGAACTTTATTCATTTTTCACACACAGTCTTTGACATTTACAGATCGGATCTGTGGCATCACACATGAGCACCAAGGAATCAAAGGATTGAAGATACTCCCAGGATTGGGCCAGCTTATGTTATTGATGTTAGCCTGCAGGAGTTTTGAGTTTCATTGAATTTTTCATAAGGCAAATGTCGGACTGAGTCAAAACAGGGAGGGGTGCAGTTCACACACACTGAATCACCCCTTAATGAACCCCCTCCCCATTTTGGTAGCAGTTCAAAATTGGGCAAAAATGTTTTCCAATTCGGAGCAAATTCTAGGAAGCATTGCTCTCACTCTGACTTGGCTTTGAGTAGGCAATATACTGCCAAATCTAACTGGTTATATGGTGCTGTGTGACATCATCAAGCTTCTTTGATGATCCCTGATTGGCTGGGTTCTCTTGGCCAGGATGAAAGGATGGAACCCTCTCTCTTTTTTTAAAAAAAATAAAAATAAAAATTCATCAAAGCAATTTCTCTGTTGCTGACAATAACAGCAAACAAGTGTGGACCAAGCCTATTGAGCTCCTGGTAGGAAAAGGGATATATATGCATTAAATAAATAGATAAACACAGCATAAAACCAGTCTAGGGAATCTCAGAAGAAAGGGTCAGAGGTAGCAGCACCATCTCAATTGAGGGTGAGCATAATGTGCCTCAGCACAAGGAGGCAAGGAGCGATAACACTGGTTTTGGGGTTTTTTTTAAACCTTATTGTGGAGTGACCCTTTGAATAAACAAGGTTTTTGCTGACAAGCAAAGCTTTGGACTTCTTGCTGTTTCATGGCACTGATAGTGCTAACATTGGCAAACCCACCACTTGCAGTAAAAAGTTGTTATCCCCATGGAATCTCTACCCCACAGTCTTCGCCAATAGCCTGTTATTCTCTTTTATCAGGTTTAGTTGAGCTGCTTACTCAAGTTCAGGATTTCAGTTGTACGAGCTTCATCAGCTATTAGGGAATGACTTTTCCCTCCAAATACCACCAGTTATTATCTATAAGATCTAGTGATCATACTTGGAAGGGCAAAGAATCCAAAAGCTTCATCACCTAAGCTTGCCACCCACTATTAGAGCTTCTCAATGTCTCTATAGCTGCTGATTGCAAGGGGTAGTGTGTGCTGTTTTTACATGTGTCTACAGATATTTGAGAAACTTGATCTTTGTGAATTTTGATATGGACTGACCTGTCCATACAACCCAGTTTAATAAGCAGATCAGAATTTAATTACCCTCTGGCTTTCACACGTCCTGAATGTTCCAATGTAGTATCAAAGTGCATTTAATTAAAATGCATATTTTTTGAGAGAGTTTTTGTTTAAAACTGCATTTTTGCAAAGCATTTCCCCCTAATTCAATGTATTTCTGTATGTTATTGTCCCTAACATATACATTTTATGCACACTTTATCCTAGCATATGCAATTTTGCACAGGTTACTTGGCTGGAGACCTGCATTGCAAATTTGGAGAAGTGTGAGTTTTAAAGGATGCCAGTGTTTCAGTTTGCAGATAGTTTCAGAAAGTGACAATTAGATAGATTTGTCTTTAAAAGCGAACTAAATTTAATTTCCCCCATTGCTTTTTTCCAAGGTAAAAATAAATAAATATTGGAAATAAGGCTAAAGTTCTAGTCTGTGTTCAAGGTGCATTTGCAACTTGTATTCTTCACTTTCTATGGATATACAAAGTCATGGCCAAATGACTCCCAACAAGTGTTGATTGCTCCTTAACTCTGTAGAAAATGCCATACTCCCTGCCACACATTTCTAGTCAGAATCAACTTCTTGCCTCATTTCTAGCCTCAACTCTTTGATCTTTCAACCTGCCCCAAAGAAATATGACCCTATGACTCCCCAACCCCCAATTCAAGGCACCCGCCATTTCCGGGTGGTCAGAAATTCTCATCCCAGAATCTGATGCCAATCAGCTTGCCTTAAATGTCCTTGTGGTGAAAGGGTGTCTCTCCTGAGACATCACAGTATGTCTGGCAGAGAACAGCTCCTGCGCTTGTCCTCTTTCCTCCCCATAGGCAGCATGTCAGGTATTCATGTGTGGCTTAATTGTGGCTGGTTGTTTATCTGCCCCCAAGATGTTTAGAGGTTAGCACTCTGAATTCAAAGTCTCTCCTTCTCCTCTTCCAGCTGCAGGGAAATTGACAAAGCCAGAACATGGAAGAAAATTGAGTCATATTATTCTTCCTTGGGGAGTCTCACTTTGCTGCTTGTATTTGAAAGTGCTCATTTCCAACATCACTCGCTGAGAGCTCCCATCGACCAGTGACCCCAAATGCCTATGCTAGTCAATAGCCTCTGCATCTTATTGACACGTCTATTGACAGCTTTCATTGGGAATCGGAATCAGTGGCTTGTCAGCCAACCACAATCTGTTAAGGGCTTCTAGACGAACAAGGAGGATGCTGTCCTGCTATCGACACCCTAAATGGAGACAGTTTACTTAGCACTCCAGGAAGGCACATTTGAGGAGATTTCATTACCGCTAAAAGAGCAGCTATTTTGGGAAGAAATAGATTTCCTGAGAGTGTTAAGTCTGTTGCAGCAAAAACCCAAACAAATAAAGGTGCTGCCTGGGACTGATGGGAGATTTGGTACACCTGGAGGAAACTGAGTCGGGGAAAGTTAATTGGATGAGTCCTTGAGGCATAAAGTCCAACATGACTTGGGAGGTAGGCAAATAACAGGTTGTCTATCCTCATATCAACCACCCCAAGCTCCAAAATTGTAAGAGGTAGTCATATTGTGCAGGGACCCAGAAGAAAACAAGAGAAGAGCCTGCTGGATCAGACCAATGGCCCACTTTGTTCAGCATCATTGAGTCTCCTGGGCTTGCTGATCAGAAGGTTGGCGGTTCGAATCCCTGCAACAGAGTGAGCTCCCGTTGCTCTGTCCCAGTTCCTGCCAACCTAGCAGCTTGAAAGCATGCCAGTGCAAGTAGATAAATAAGTACCGCTGCGGCGGGAAGGTAAATGGCGTTTCCGTGTGCTCCGGTTTCCGTCACAGTGTTCCATTGTGCCAGAAGCGGTTTAGTCCTGCTGGCCACATGACCCAGAAAGCTGTCTGTGGACAAACGTCGGCTCCCTCAGCCTGAAAGCGAGATGAGTGCTGCAACCCCATAGTTTCCTTTGACTAGACTTAACCTACCGTCCAGGGGACCTTTACCTTTTACCTGCCCATGTGATGATTGCTAGCTGGACCCAAATAAGGGCGTTCTTTCCTACTGCGCTTTCCAGCAATAGGAATTCAGACACTTATTGCCTCTGACAGTGGAAGTAGAACATACCTCACAAAGGGAGGGTGCTATGTCATGATGCAGTGTGCTACCTAAGAGCAAGGGATTGCAGAGCCCTAGAGCACTGGGGGCAAATCAGGGGAAGCACTCTAAAGCATGGGTGCTGGTCAAAACTCCACTAGGATTGAACTTTAGTGTTGGCTGCTTCAGGTCTGACAAGTGCAAATAACTTCTTGAGCAGGTAGTGGTGGCAGCAACAGATGTGCGACAGAAACAGTGGGCCCTCACACATCCATGCCACCACCCTCCCAGTTGACCACCTGAGATGGCTCAACTTGCTCCATGGCATGACTGGCCCTTGCCGGACTTACCTATGTGACCCATAGATAAGGCCTCAGCTGTAACCATATTCTCTTTATAAAGGGCCTATCATCTCAGTTTGGGAAGCCCATGGCTAATTTGGACCACAAAGTGATGGAGGAGTGGAAGCAGCAATCCACCAAATGCAGGGAAGTATATTAGTCTACTTGTGTATTATAATTGTCAGCTGATCTCCTCCTCCAAGCAATAGAGTCCCTTAGGATTTATTGCTGTATTAACAATGATCCTCAATTGCACTACTTAATAAATCATGTCTGAGCTAACAATATACGTCTCTCTCTCTCTCTCTCTCTCTCTCTCTCTCTCTTTCTCTGTATGCACACAAAACTCCTTCAATGTAATTATTTGTTTTCTTAATGTAGGCACATGTTACATAAGTTCCACTAGCTTCCTGTTTTTTAAAAAAAAGCAAAACGAAAGAAATTCCTATTAAATTGTCCTCAACAATGAAGCATCTATTATATTAATGAATACACACACACACACACAATTTGTTTTATTTGTGTGTTTTATTTGTGTGTGTATGTGGAATTGTTTTAATTATTTTTGTTTTCGATGTTTTTGCTCCGTGATGCTTCATTGTAAGCAATTCATAAATGGAATGGAATAAATAAATGAATCGCCGCCACCACCATCACCACCATATTGACTAAAAATCAAACCCCACCATCATAGCTGGCTGTTACCTCCTACCTCATCTGGGTCCACTCTAAACCTTTGCACAGTGACTTGGATTTTCAAAAATCGGGAGAACCTCAGCTGTGCAAACACAGCAGCCTCTGTTTATTTTGGTGGCCTTGCAAACTATTTATGGAAAATCATTCAGGCAGAAAGGCTGAAGTGGAGATCATTGCATTGTGTCAAATTAAGGAGTGCTTAATACTGCCTAATCTCCTGGTAATTACTGCTGTGGCAATGGATGGCATTTTTGCTGGGTAAGAAAGCCAATGAGCGTCCAGAGCACTGTTCTCTATACAAGTGCTTGTCTTGCCTGGTAAAACGATAGAATAACAGCTGAGTCCTGGAAGGAACTTTATCTACTTTACCCTCCATCCTCGACCATCTGGAAGGATGCATATCAACTAGAGGTGCTACTGACTTTCTCGTGATCTAAATTCTGCTCCAGGTTTTGGGTGTCCAAATTACCTGAGCCCAAGTACTGATTTCTGAATGCACAAAGAAGGTATTAGGTCAACGCTGCCCCCTGATTATCACTGCATGTACTGACTGTTAGTATTTCACTCCTCCGATGCTGCAGATGAGGTTGGTGTAAATCACATTACTGTCTGGGAAGAGTGTAGGAACGGAGGACAGTCTTATCTCTTCCGCTGTATGTACTATGTACTGTACTTTTGCTTTTACTTCTGCCTGTTCTTCTCTCGGAGCTGGAAAGAAAGGACACCATGAATCCTTTGTCTGTACATAAAAAGGTAAAGGACCCCTGACTATTAAGTCCAGTCACGGACGACTCTGGGGTTGTGGCGCTCATCTTGCTTTACTGGCCGAGGGAGTCGGCGTTTGTCTGCAGAAAGTTTTTCTGGGTCAAGCGGCCAGCATGACTAAGCCGCTTCTGGCGAAACCAGAGCAGCGCACAGAAACACCGTTTACCTTTCCGCCGAAGCGGTACCTATTGATCTACTTGCACTTTGATGTGCTTCCGGACTGCTAGGTTGGCAGGAGCTGGGACTGAGCAACGGGAGCTCAGCCCGTCGTGGGGATTCGAACTGCCGACCTTCTGATCGGCAAGCCCAGAGGCTCAGTGGTTTACACCACAGCGCCACCCGCGTCCCTTGTCTGTACATAGTGTGTAAATAAATACGTAGATTATCTCTACAGTATCTCACTCTTCTTGCTGCGTTATGCTAGAAGATTAGTGTGCATATATCATTTGATATATGTCACTGAAGCTCACTGGAGAAGAGAAATGCCTTTTCCAGAGCTGCGCATACCGGAGGATGCTCGCCGTTCCAGGGTTGCAGGGGCACCCCAGGGCATTTCCTAACATCCCCAAACTGTTGTATTGTCGGGTATGCATAGGGTCAGGGTTGCACATCATCACTGAGGCAGTAGAACTAGCACTTTTGTTCAACTAGGCACCTTCATGCATTTATTCTCAGGGACACCAGGCACCTGAACAGGAGTCTAGTTTTGCTCTGCAGTGGAACCAATGTGTTAGTGATGCCACAGGACCCCTTTTTGTGTAGTGTTTTCTAAAAAAATGTTTAGGGATGCTCTCATTCCATCTGAGACTCGGGAAACAGCATGACAGGAAATGAGGCTGCCATCGGGGGTAGCAATGGAACTGACAACTCACCATGTTATTCAACAGAACTGACAATTCACTGTGCTAGAGAAGAAACTACTTTTTAAAAAATAAATAAATTTCTTCCTCTGTTAGATTCACAAAATGTTTAGGGGTATGGTACCCCTGCGTCCCCCCCAGAAAAAAGGCACTGTTTTTAACTATCCACATGTATTCTGATGCACTGATAAAGCACCACAAAAAAGCAAGATCAAAATTACTTTGCAGGGTGCATGTGTACATTGGCAGAATACCACAACCAAACACACACAGCTTGATGCAATCCGTGAAGCCTTTGAAGGTGTCCCCCCCACACAGTGCCAGAAATTTACCTGTTAAATCAGAATTCAGGATTAATAGGGAGCAGGACAAAGCTAATCCATGGAACAAAGAAGGATTGGAATGGTGGGATGGGACTCTTTCCTGTCTAATAAAAACAGAAAAGTATCACATATTCTCTAGTTCTGCACCACTTCTAACTAGGGATGAATGAATCAATTTCTGGTCAATTTCACTTTTGCATGTGTTAAATTATATGACTCTCCTGCCCCATTTCCACATTAATCTATGATTTCAAATAAGATCAGATGAATAAAAAAATGCATTGCCATACATATTTTTAAATTCATTTTCTCAAAAATTGCACATTTTAAAAAACTTCACCCCCCCCCTCAGAAATATACACTTTAAAACATATTTCTATACATTCTTTTGACCTAAGAACTGCCTCACAGAATTTGGGGAGTGCCAAACCCTGTTAGTGGGTGGGTAGCTACATTCCAATTTGCACATTAGTCGGGTGGGTGGGTGTGCAGACCGGGCAATTCACATTGAAATTCTCAGTGGTTGAATTACTTCAACATACTTGCTTCATAAGCTACAGAGCATTCACTTTTCCTTTGCAGGACAGGAGCAAGTAAAAAAACTCTCTTCCTTGGTCAATAGGGTAGACAGGGAGGAGGGAGCCAGGAAGAGATGCTGAAAGGAAGAAGGATGAACTGGTCTGTTCCAGTTATGGAGCTCAGCGAGCAAGAGGTTCATCATTAACTGTCAAGCAGTGGTTTTAATCAGCCCTGCTCCTCTGTGCAAGATAGATTTAATATCAAGGCCCATTTTCAGAGCTATTAGTTTAATTATGACAGGTGTCTGCAAACTAGATGGCTCTGCGTTCCTGCTCTGAAGGACAGCCTTTAATTCTCTGGGGCCACGGGGGTACTTTACGAAAATGAGATGCCATTAAAATCTAAGTGTTTCATTCATATATATATATATATATATATATCCCTTGCCCTAGATTGCCTCAGATTAGGAGCTGATCAGAAAATTGTCCTTGTAGTTGAAGGCAAAAAGAAAAGAAAGGAAACGAAGACTAGCCAGTCAGAACATCAAGTTGTAGTTTTGAAAGCTATGCACTGAGCAGCCAAGTTCAGACAAAGGCCTGGCAAGTGATCTTTCAACCTTGCAATCATCCCAGCTCTGTGGAACATTCCCTGTACATAGGAAATAATATGCATGTATTGGTTCACTTCTAGAGCACTACTTCTTTAGCATGCAGAGTACTCTGTGGTCATGAATTCATTTAACCTCATGTTTCTCTTGCTAAGGTACCAACAAAAAAAATGAAGTGGAGCCCGTCCAAACATTACCCACTATGTTTGTGGTTCGAGGTCCATGTCTAAATCTGTTAATTGGCTAATTCCACAGCGATGTAGAACCTGACCATGAACAAAGTCTAAAACTCGAGGTCATGTCTTCCAAGACCACATAATTGACCCATGGAACCCAGAGCAGTACAGTGGATGACTCTTCTGGCTTTGTAACGTTGGCAGGCTGCTGTTCCACAACAAATTTCCATTAGAGCACTGCTGTATTGGGTTCCTCCACTGAGCAACATTAAATGTCATCTGCCTGCTAGAGGACGAAGAAATATTGAGCTAGTGGACAAAAAATATTGGATACAGCTCAGTTACTATAATATAAATAGAAAACATCTCTGCAAAGTGGGCAACAAGGGTTTGACCAAATGACCTGTGTGCCTTCTCAGTCTTCTGCTCGGGTACTATATGTTGATGGGCTCTCTCTTCTTTTTGTTCCTTATCTTCAAACTGGAGAGCCGTTCAAACAGAGGACTAACTCCTGCAAAGCACAACCTAAGCATGCTGCAGCCTGAATAGGAAGGATTGCACACACCCCTTTGGATAGTATGTGGGTTACTGCAGCAATGCAGCCCACAGCTCGGTCAGTTCAAGGTGTAGTAGCATAGTATTTGCTCCATTCTCAGGGACTTCAGGAGAAGGAATACAAGCAAAGGATGAAAAGCCAGAAGTAAGCTATTTTCCATTATTATTTGCTGCTCTACAAGTGCCATCAGATCCATTGTGCAATTAAGCAGTCTATTATCAATACTGTATTTGGTGGAGGGAAGCAGATGTCATTTACAATACGACATCTATTCCATAGGTCAATTTTGACTAGCCAAGGGATCAAATTTGGCCTGCAAGGGCATGTTTGAAAAACCACAATCACCTACCAATCATCAGATGTTGCCCCAGTTGAGAGGGGGTGGGGTAATGCCAACTGAGGAGCAATTGGTGGGTTTTGACTCTGCATTGGTTGTGCTCACTTTTCACGTTTGGCCCTCCAGGGATGGGGAGATAAGGATCTAGCCCACCACCACCACCCTCATTTACAATGTGTGCTTCTGTGTGTACATAGTAGGTGGCATAACCAGTAGGAAAATTTAGCAGTAGTTCATTGTTTAGCCCTTTTAGACACTATATCGATAATAGTTAGGCAGGCAGGAAGTTGGGGGGGGTGAGGTTTGCATGGAGATAGAGGTGCCACACTCAAGTGGCCATGTGCTCTATTTTACAAAGGACAGTCCTCTATTTGAAGGGATATTTAATCCAAGTCCAGCTTTCTCTTAAAGATAAATAACTATTGGGGGCACTACCCATGAATCGTTAGTACCGGAACTGGCTAGCAGGCACAAAGGATACACTTTCTGTTGAAATTAGAGTAATCAGTCTACGTTATTTCTAAGGCTGACTCTGTGCATATAACTTGCCATGTGCAAACTTCATGCAAATCCGTGTTATCTCTTGTCTTCTTTTAATTATGTCTAAGTGGTCACCCCATGGTATTAATAGACAAGCAATAGGCCCCCTGTTGGAGGATATGAAAAAAACACCCAACCTATTGAATGGCAGAGACTTTAGTGTACAGATATTCAACATAGGGCTGTCCAGATGTTGCTGCATGTCAGCTTCTGTCACTCCTGACTATTAATTATGCTGGCTGGAGCTGATGGAAGTTGGCATCCAACAACATCTGGAGGCATAATGTTGGCTACCCCTACCGTAGTGGTGTTTCAGGGTATGGTAAACAGTCTTATGACTCTGTTGTGGCCTTTGTAATGCTCCTCTGTGGAGTTCAGTAAGGCCACTGCCTCAGAACAAGCTTGCTTTTGTGGGCTGGTGATTGATTTCTTTGGTATTTATAGTAGGGTTCCATTTTCATTTAAATTGAAAAATACGGGAACACGTATTTCTGTTATTATAGCAAACACCATAAGATTTACTAATTGCCATAGGAATTTGCCAACTGGTGTAATTTACTGCCAAGTTCTCTCTTCCAAACCCACCCCCAATTTTGGAAAGGAAATGATTCCTCCTTGCCCCTTACCACTCAGAACTGGAGGAATTGGTTCTTTTCAACATTCATCAGACTAGAGAGGATAATTTGTTTGGGCCTTTCTGACTTTTAAGTGGAGGCTAAGAAAACATGGTGCTGCCAGCGAGTAGGGTGGGGGAGATAAATGAGGATCTTTGAGAAAATAAATGGTTTCTGAAACAGCTTGAGCCCACTCTCCAGAATATATTGAAGGTGGAGCATCAAGGAGTTTGCAAGGCAGAGAGTTAGGAGGAGAGTAAAAAATGGACCACCCAGCAGGAAAGTTCCTCCTGCTCCTCAGATCCATTCTGCAAACCTGGCTGACAGTTCTGCTGGGTGAGGATACCATCGGGGCTGCAGCAATTTTCAGCTGACCCCACAGGCTCCGTCTTGGGTTACCTAGGCTGCAGTCAGATAGCACTTTCTCAATGTTTCCTTACCTGATCAATATGTGATTTGGGGAAGGTTTCCAATCCCTAATCACATATACTAGCCCTTAATCACAGGCCTACTGTAGATCACACAGATCATTTCAATGGTTAGTCTCCCTCTGTGCATATGGCACTGTACCCACAATGAGTCCCTCTAACCTGGAAGAAGCACGCAGACTGAGAATTCACATTAGCTGCATCTGATCTTGTTAGATATCTGATCCAAAGGAGAAATGGTAGCATTGTAAGGCAGTGGGATGCTTGCTGGTCTCAGGGGCCTGGAAAATGCCAAGCTTTGCTACCTGTGGTATTGGATGTGTGAGAAGTGGGGGAGAAAAGGGAGAAAGAAAAACAGGTGTATGGCAAGAAATCCTGAATTGATTTTCACCCAATTAACTTTTTTCTTTTTGGGGGATGTATACATGTGCACGCACACACACACACACACACACACTGCAGACCTCAGAGTTAGTTCCACCAAGCCTGCTTCCAACTACATAAAGGTTCACAATCTGAGAATGAGCTCACTATTAGTAGATAAGATTCACAGGGTCCCTGACACATCTTCCAATATGCCCAAGTTTCTGTATGATAAAGGTACAGCAACCTTTGCCAAAGTTTCAACAAGAAGATGTCTTGTCAGAACTACAGGGCTCAGTGTGCAATTATTTTCTGAACACAGAAACAATCCCAGCAAGGGGAAAGATAAAGGAGAGGGGGGAATTACTAAGAGGATATTACTCCCCTCCTCTCCCTATTATTCCTCTTGCCCTCAGAATAATGAACATGGCCCAAACAAATCAAATAATATAGAGATGTGTATTTTTTGGGGGGGGGAATTGACTTCTGCATTGTATTTCTATTTCCTCCCAAGATAGAGCCGTTGGTTTGGGGCATTAAAAATAGCTGATTGACAATTTGGGCTTGAAAATGTACAGCATGATTCGTGGCAGCCAATATGAAAACCGTAGGAGCTGTTTATAAGTAACCACTAATATAACCCCTTGAAGGGGTGCCAGTTCTAGGGGCTGAGCCCTTTTGCCCCCCGACTGTGGCACCACTCCAGTGACTGGCTCCTTCTCCTCCTCCTTCTCCTGCCGCAGAGAGGGTGGCAGCAGGAAGTGGAAGTGGAGGAGCCACCAGCCATTGAAGCTACATGGCCGCCATGTTTAGTGCCATCCCGGTTCCTCATGATGTCCTGACATCACACACGTGACGTTGCCCCCCACCCATTGCCCACGCAAGCTGTTGCTTCTAGCCCCATGGAAAATCTTGCCAGCTTCCTCCCCCAATAAGCTAGCCTCATTGGTGCCAAGGAGCCCCTCTCATTCATTCTCAGATCTGCTCAATTCAGAAAATTCAATTCAATTCACATTTAAAGGTGAACTTACATAATTTGCAGCTTCCTAAACAAGATGCGAACTTTATTTAGGTTGACCATGTAGCATTCCATGGAAAACCACTATTTGGTTTCAATTGGGTGGGAGGCGAGCAAGCTCCACCCCCCAGCCCAACCAGCTGCATATTTGGGTTCCCTGTAATTTGGGAGAGGGAGCTGGAAGATCTCTTGAAATCACAAAAAACGTTAATATCTGAAGGAAAGGATACATTAGAACCCAGGCTACTCAACTTCTCTCCTCCCCTGTGACTCTGAACAAGCCATTTATTGGAGGGGAAGCCTGTCGCACCACTTTTTAAAAAATAAAATAAAAAATATCCAGCCAGACTGTCAGCATAAAAATGTTTGGCTCTGTCATCTCTGTGTTTCTGCGCACAGTGAAAGATCTATAATTCTCACACTTAATGTAATTCCAAGGCATCCAGAGTGATTTACCGTCAGTTTACTCAATACTTTCAGCTTTATTTAATGTAACAGTTATGGCACATAAAAAGTTTATTGAAAATCCTTTGGGAGTGTGATTGAGTAAGAAACAGTCATTGCTAATACCATTACAAAAGCAGAGGAGAAGGGTCTTGGCATGTTCCCGCAGTGACCTTTATGGCTGTCTGATCCAAGGGGTCACGGTCGGATATATTTCCTGCTTTGCCTCTGCATTTCTGATGAACATTTCTCTTAGCGCAGAGAGGGACAAAGCTGCCAATTAAAGCTCCTATTAGTTTCTCATTTCCCTCTTCTTAAATTCAGTTCTCCACATTTCTGCTTTAGTTTCCTTTTCTTAAAAAAGGAAGTCCTTACAAAAATTCACCAGCTGGTATACACATTTTCCCACTGAACTACATGTAATATCATACTTATTTGTATATTATGTTTGCCAATATATGCATTTTTATTTTTTGCACATTTCTCCTTAATATGCATTTTGTATACCCGTTATTTGGCAGGAGAACTGCTTTACAATATTTGGAGAACTGCAAGTTTCATAGGAAATTCAATTTTTCAAAAGTTCCCTTGGTTCAGCAAGGGTGAATTAGATCAGTTCACAATAAAATGCAAAGGTAAAGGTAAAGGGACCCCTGACTGTTAGGTCCAGTCGCGGACGACTCTGGGGTTGTGGCTCTCATCTCACTTTACTGGCCAAGGAAGCCGGCATACAGCTTCTGGGTCATGCTTTTCCTCATCCTCTTGGAAGTCCACAAACAACCACATTTTACCTCTGTTATAATATTATCAGTACACTATTGAAGTTGCTGGTTCAGGTGGAGATTATTTAAAAGACCAAGCAGTACAGACTATTAGCTAAACGCGGGGGAGAGTGCCCAGCCTGCAGGCCATTCTTGGCCCACCAGAAATTTGGCCTGCAAGGCCATTTCCCCCAAACCATGTGCACCTGCCAATCAGCTGGTGCCACTTAATTCTGTGTTGGCTGTGTGCACCTGTTCCTGCCTGGGAACAGGCATGCACCTCCAACACAGCAGGATTTAACTCCCCACTCATCAGCTGATGAGTGGTGTGTGGCTGGGTGTATTTTCAACCCTGCTCAAGTTTCCAGAAGGCACACTTCTTTGACAGCCTTGCACTTGGCGCTCACAACATCCCTTGTGCTGTCGTTCCCAAGTGCCTGGCAGCCAGCTCAAAAGTCTATCCAACCCTGAGCTTAAACAATCATTTTAGCCAGGGTGGTTTTTTCTGGGGGGGGGGGGGAGGATTTGGTGAGAAGGAGTAAATAAAGCAAAGCCCCGCAAAAAGTGAGGAGGGTTAGATAATTTTAAGTGTAATTTGGGGGGTTATTTTGGTAACTGGGTGCTTATCTTAATGCTGTAAAATAGACATGGCCAAACTTGGCCCTCCAGCTGTTTTGGGACTACAATTCCCATCACCCCTAGCTAACAGGACCAGTGGTCAGGGATGATGGGAATTGTAGTCCCAAAACAGCTGGAGGGTCAAGTTTGGCCATGCCTGCTGTAAAGTGACTGAAGGGCATGGGAGCTCTTCCTTTACCAATTTTCATGCTGCTCTCTCTACCCTGACTGATGTACATCCAGGAAATGCTATTGGAGGGAGGATGTGAGGTCATAATAGAAGATTCATTTTAAAAAACAACAACCCACACATTCTTGATGTAATCATATTGATGATTCCAAAGATTATTCCTCTGTGGAGTTTTATTTATTGTAATCAGAATAATTTATCTTCAACCAACCAGAGAAGCAGTCAAGGTGGCTAACAATATTCAAAGGACAATAAAATGATAATCAATAACTAAGCCATTGAAACAATTAGAAACAAAAAAGACAGAAGCATTGATGGATTGATTAAACCAATTTGCATCCCTGCATTTCCCTATGTGGGGTCTCAAGGTGGCTAGCAACAGAAGAACCACAAGAGCATAATAAATCATGTGTAATGGTATGAATTGATACATTGGGCCTGCTGGCTGCTGCTGGTGGGAGTTAGGAGTCCAGCAACACCAGGAGTGTCACAGATCCTTTATGTCAGCACTGACATAAAGGGTCACTGAGATGACAAAGGAGAGGAAAAGGACTGTGGCTTAGTGGTAGAGCATCTGCTTTACATGCACAAGACTCCGGGTTCAATCCCTGGCTTCTCCAGGTTGGAAATGCCCTCACTTTGAAACCCTTTAGAGCCACTACCAGACAGAGTAGGAAGATAATATTGAGCTAAATCTGTTTCTAGACTGCGCCACTTCATATGGCAAACAGGCGAATCATAACTGTATGCTTTCCCATACAAAAAACCTTGTCCAGCATATGGAAAACTAGAACTATTAGGCAGAAGATTAAGCTAGAACCAGAAGCAGTGGTGAGGAGCCACCATGCTAGCTTTCGAGCAGGTGGGTTCTTGTGGAGTGAGAGTGATAAGGGCAGTCTGGTGCTCCTGCTGGTGTCATAAGCCCCATGGCATCAAACAAGGAGTGGTGTGTCATGTGACAAAGGTATTTGAGAGCAGAAGCAGTAAAGGAGCCTAGAAATGTTGTGAAATGCTGAAAAGCTGCAGAATCATTTAGCATGCTGAATCACTGTGACTCATCTTGAGGATGACTCATTAGTATAAGTATTGTATCTGCTTGCAGGCAGACTCAGTGTGTATCAGTATCTGTGTGTCAGTGTGCTCTGTGAAGCCTGTGCTCAATGGAGACTCTTTAGTGCGTGGTGCCTCTGTGTGACTCAGTAACTCTGTGTATGCTCTGAAGCTAGTTTAATCTTCTGTCCACTATGCTGTTATTTGCAAACAAGTTTATTTTAACTCAGTAAAGCTTTTACTCTTTTACTGAAAAAGACTCTGTTTTATTAATTTACGCTGCGCGTTATGGTGGTCTTGACAAGATTTGTCAAAGGCAAAGATTGGGAGGTTATTACTAAGACTGGTGGCAAGGAGGGTCTGAGTAGTTTGTTGGAAGACATCCCTGCCCAGCTTCCACTGAACATCACATTGGAGAAAAAAGTCAAGTGACCTTACAATTGCAACCAAGGAGTTGTATGAGCCTGAGTTGAACAGTGAATTGGCCAATCAGTACAGTGCTACCTCGGGTTACAGATGCTTCAGGTTACAGATGCTTCAGGTTACAGACTCCGCTAACCTAGAAATAGTACCTCGGATTAAGAACTTTGCTTCAGGATGAGAACAGAAATCACATGGTGGCAGCGGGAGGCTCCATTAGCTAAAGTGGTACCTCAGGTTAAGAACAGTTTCAGGTTAAGAACGGACCTCCAGAATGAATTAAGTTCTTAACACGAGGTACCACTGTACTGTGTCTTATGTCTGGTTGAAGCCAGGCCAGCCAGAGCATTTTACAGTGGTACCTCGGGTTAAGTACTTAATTTGTTCCGGAGGTCCGTACTTAACCTGAAACTGTTCTTAACCTGAAGCACCACTTTAGCCTATGGGGCCTTCTGCTGCTGCCGCACTGCTGGAGCACGATTTCTGTTCTCATCCTGAAGCAAAGTTCTTAACCTGAAGCACTATTTCTGGGTTAGTGGAGTCTGTAACCTGAAGTGTATGTAACCTGAAGCATATGTAACCCAAGGTACCACTGTACATAAGAACATAAGAACAGCCTGCTCAATCAAGCCACTGACCCATCTAGTCCAGTGTCCTTTCTTACAATGGTCAACCAGATTATTGTGGGAAATCCACAAGTAGGATTCGAGCTTAAGGACACTTTCTCTTCCTGCGGTTTACAATGACTGGCATTCAGAAGCATTACTGCCTCTGACAAGTAGCCATGGAGAGCCCTCTCCTCCATTTCAACTGGGCCAATCTCCCTGCTGCTGCTGTCTACAACCTTTCTCTACCTGGCACCTCCATGTGCAGAATTTTGTTCCGCAGGGAGCCCTGTCTATCCTGCCAGTTCACCCCCTGCCATCTCAAAACGGTAGAGCCCAGACCCATGTTCACCACCTCAGGGAGGACTAGGCTGAATATAAAGGTGGACAGAACCAAAGCAGCTTTTCAGGCTTGTAATTATCTAACAAGCCTGTTATTGTTAGAGGGAAATTCCTCTGAACGATTGCTGGCAGGGACGACGCTATGTTTCAGAGCCAGTTCTTGGCAGGAGATGGCGGGGGATGGTGTCTGCAGAGAGATGGCTGTATAGCCTATGGATTAACATACTCTTATTACATTACTCTTTAAGCTTCAAAGGTCTGCCAGGAAACCCAAGCTTACAATCTATTGAATGACATTTTAAGAACAAATAATACATTCATATATTAAATTTGAGAATAAACACATACATTATAGGAAGGGATTTTGTCTACGCCTGACCTTTCCATTGTATTCCCACTGCACAGGGATGGAAAGGAACCTCTTCCAAGAACCTTTCAAATTGGCTACAGAGAGGTGGCTTTAGTCTGCTCAAACTGCAGCTGAAACCCTGCTTGGAAATAAGAGCTTAGCAATGATTATCCCTCTGACACTAATCTACAGCTACACTAAATCTTGTTGCCTCAAATTAATCAATTAAGCATCAAACCACAGAATAGGACCAATTGAGGCCTGCATGTATTATCATGGCAGGTGCTTCCTTCACTCTACTGTTTCCTTCAAGCTGCCTCTAATTTCCTCTTCCTCTTCAATACTTATACACGCAATATTTCCTTGCATTGTTAAGAACATCTTCAAAAGGCCATTTCCTCCCCAGCTTTGATACACTCCTGAAAGATAGTGGTTTGCAATGGGCCGATCGGCCAGAATCAGAAGCCCTGGTTTGAAGTGGTTTTGCAAACTATTGTACATGAGGCTAACTATGGTATAGCCATGGGTGACTAATGCTCTGCCAAAAACTGTCCCTGTGTTTCTTGAAAGTTTTCTTTCTCTGAGGAAAAGGCTTACTTTGTGCATGTGCAATTGAGAATTTCTTTAGAATTCCACTTGCTTTGGGATTTTGAGCTTACCTTATCATTCTGAGGCAGCAGAGGGCCTCTACGTACTTTTTCTGTTTTTCTTCTGTTCCTTTCCCCATAATTTTTCAGCCTGCCTAGCTGCCCACAATTTCTGATGTGGAAAAAAGTCTGTCAGTGCGAAGAGCTATCTCATGATGTCCTTCCCAGGCGTTAACTGAAGCACAGGGACAAAGGAAGGCTGCAGAATGTAAGCATTAGTAAGCTGATTCAAAGAATGAAAGAAAGGGCACATAGAAAACTCCCCATAGACAACTCAAAAGTGAAGCAAGCTTATTAAAAAAAACTAGGCACCATAGGAGAAATTGGTTGCTATACTAGCTTCCCAGCAGGTAGCTCAATGTTGCTTATTGGAAGGAAGAGTGGGTAAGGTGGTGGAGAGGTAAGTATGGTGCAAACACACCAGCAGAGCCAGTCTGGTGCTCCTTATGGTTTGTTTGCACCACAGCAGCATCCCTACCATCTCGGCCCTCTCCAACAGCAACAAATTGAATGTACTGTATTCCCATATATTATGGGAATGTGTGCACACAATGCATAAAAAAGGTAAAGGACCATTGACAGTTAGGTCCAGTTGCGAACGACTCTGGGGTTGCAGCGCTCAACTTGCTTTACTGGCCAAGGGAGCTGACGCTTGTCTGCAGACAGTTTTTCTGGGTCATGTGGCCAGCATGACTAAGCCACTTCTGGCGAAACCAGAGCAGCACACTGAAACATCGTTTACCTTCCCACCAGAGCGGTACCTATTTATCTACTTGCACTTTGACGTGCTTTCGAACTGCTAAGTTGGCAGGAGCTGGGACCGAGCAACGGGAGCTCACCCCGTCGCAGGGATTCGAACCGCCAACCTTCCAATCGGCAAGCCCTAGGCTCAGTGGTTTAGACCACAGCGCCACCCGTATCCCAGCACACAATGCATATATTAGCTAAAAGACTGGACAGAAATGCCTCTGTTGGGGAATATTGCAGTGGGAAATTGCATGCAAAAATGCACATATTAGGAGAAACGTGCAGAAATAAGTGTATGACTGCCTACTATATGCATGCTATTTGAAACAGCACCATCAGTATGCTCTATCCTCACTCCTGCTGTGGAGGTAGGTATACCATGTTGTATTTCCAGGTCATGTAGACCAGGGATGGGGAACCTGTGGCCCTGCAGACTGCAATTACCATAGTCTTTGACCGCTATCCATGCTGGCTAGTGTTGATGGGTATTGGAGCTGAGCAACATAATTGAAGGGCCACAGGTTCCTCACTCATGACGTAAACAAACTCCATGCTGCTAGAAAGTTTTGCATTGTGCTGAAATACAACATGGTGGCCAACTCCACAAGCTGCAGCCGTCATGAGAGTAAGTCATCAGGCGGTGGCTATTTTTCATGCACAGGTGAATGGGAAAATACCGGATAAGTAGATAGGTTCTTCACAATTTCTGTTGCAAAATAAAGCAGTTGGCATGTGGGATTGAGAAGACGAGGCACAGAATTTTAGAGGTGACAGAATTACCCACCCTGAGCCTTTGAGACAGAGCAGGACGGCAGCTCAAGCCATGAATCAGCAGTTAATATGCTTGGAGATTAATTTGTACACAGGATCAGAATGCATCATTTATTCCTAACCTTTGTTTTAGTGAGCTTTCTTAAACTGGGGTGGGGTGGGGGAATGAAAGGGAAAGGTCCAGAGAGCCCTTTATACAAAAGGAAACCCCCACCACTGTGCAAAAGGGGGTTTCTAGTTTCTGCTGATTCCATCCTCCTGCATTCCTGATGTTTTTGTTTGCATTTCTGTTTGCAAGCCTCTTAGAGTGACTCCTTTAGCCCATCTCACATGTTCACAACTATGTGAATGGAGGCTCCCCAGGGTGCGTCACCAGGCTGTTCTGTTACTTTTCAAACTAGCATACGTTTAGAGATGGCTCACTCTATCCATTTTTGTTTCTCATTCTTCCATTTCCCTCCATTTCCCAATGTTTCATTTTAAGTTCCGTTTGCCATATTTCCACATCAGTCCTCACAAAAATGTGTCAGTCTTTTATTATGTGTCACACTTTATTATGTGCCAGCCGTTTCTTCTAATGCACCCACTTTTGCATAGTATACACATTTTGCAAGCAATTTTGCCTAATGCAGTACATTTATATTATTATTATTTTAACTGATATATGCATTTTAATGCATATGTTTAGT